GGATGTGGTATATCTTGAGGTGAGGTTGCACGATAATCACTACAGCAACCTTAGTTAATTTACCTATTCAAATCTGAAACGCATTCATGATATAAGCAATGCACTGTACCTGGCCCCAGTTTCCATTTTGCCTGGGAAGGCAGTCGAAGGTCCCCTTACACAATTTAAATGCATTAAGGTACCACATGGCATTGTCGAATCATATTCCTGCATACGTGAGCTTTGTGATTGTCCATTCAATACGCATAAGTTAAGTATCGCATACGTGTTGCCTAGCCCATAATAAGGGCTTTATTTGAATTCCTTAAAATCGGTTTGGTTCATGCCTTCCTAAGGTATCGGAACAAAAACCTCCTGATAAACAGCAATTTCCATAATTTTAACTAGTTAACATTAGAGCATAGGAAGAACAAGCACATACACACAGACGAGCGCAACTCTATTCTGAAACAAACTGCACCTTACATTGATTTCTAAGCTATGTTTTAACCAGCACAGATTTTTCATCATATTTTTAAGTTCTCTTTGAAAGAAAAATCAACAGTCATTCCGGTTGCTCGTATTTGTGAGCACTATATCATAGTATGAAGGTGTTTGACACTGATTGTCTGAATATACTCGACCCTTTGGTACCTTATTGACTGATTGAGCAAGTTGGCTTATTTGACTTCATGCCACTTGTACTTTCAGACCACTAAAGCCGCGCTTGCTATAATGCTCGACGTGACATGCAACCGGATAACATAGTGCTAAGGAGCCACAAGCTTCTTCGGTTAGAGACATAAGCTTGCATTCTTGCTGCGATCATTTAAATAAATTATATCTTGACGCCCTTTCTAAGCGCGCATTATTAGCAAACCCTGATAGATTACAAATTGGCCAAAGAACATTCGTCTGACTGTCCATAAATTGCCAAAATGATACAAAGGATTAATTCAGAAATGTGACACAAGCAAGCTAAAACGGAAAAGTGTAATCCATAACCATACTTAAACCGCACCTTCACCTGGATGCCGATGTACGATGCCACCCTTGATTTTTACAGGAGAAAATAAGCCTGTTGGCCGGCTGATAATTATGTTGTAAAACCTCTTAAATTACGAAGCCCATGACCATTAGTGCATTTCTTCCACACCTTAATAATCAAAATTGTACATACATAGTATGTTATTAATTAAGTCGTACGCAAAAATGTCTCTGTGAACTGTGTGACTCGGTTAAGCATTCAGCCCCTATGCTTGACGGAATTTCAGTTCACTTGATTCTCTCTCAATGCGTTTACCACAATTTCACTTCGTGGCACAGCGATCAATCTGCGAAGGAATTGGAAACGTTGAGCCCTTTACCAGATATTAGTTTAGTCCACGCTGCGCGAGCATCTGGTGACTCATACGTTGATCTCATTGACGACATGTAGAACTCGTGTTTGGCCTTAGACATTTGTTGACGTGGGCGGTAGGGGGCAGACATGCCTTCTTCGTGCTGCAGACTAGTCTTTGATCCGTATATTGCAGCACCTTTGGGACTCATTTCTCTCCACCTTTTGAGGAGCTGACAGAAAACAAGACAGCCTGACCTCTTAGTGCGCGGGGTGACCAGCGTGTTCATCGCAGTTTTCAGGCACTTCTTGTTTCTGGACAGTGTGAAGACTGTCCTGCAGCTAGTATGCTTGGGGGTCGGTGTCGTCGAATTCTGAGTCAGTGGATGAGGCAGAATACTATTCTCTTTTTGTCTCACCCCACAGGATCCTGCGTCAATTCATTCATATCCGCTTGAT